ATGTATGTGTATGTATATTTCTATTCATTTATTGGAGCCCTGGTGGTGCAGTGGTTAAGTGTTTGAACTCACCAGCCACTCTGTAGGAGAAAGATGTGGCAGTCTGCTTCTGCAGAGATTACAGCCTTGGAAACCCTATGGGGCAGTTCTCCTCTGTCCTGTAGGGTCACTATGAGTCAGAATCAACTCAACAGCAGTGTTTTTGGGCGTTGTTTGTTTATTTGTTTTTATTCATTTACTGTGTTTCTTACTGAAATAACTGGAGAAGAATCTATGTCCTTTCGGGGCCATGACATAACTCCTAAGGTAAGGTAGACAAATTATGATCACTTTGTTACAGTGAAAAGAGGCATTTAGAAAAAGATTCCAACAGTTTCTTCTAGGTCCAAGCCCTGCAGACAATTTTAAAGAAAAGTTTCCTAAAAAGAAAACAAACACGTGAAAATTAATTGAAAAAAACACCACAACCTTTTTTGTGATTTTATTAATGGATATTGTTTTAAAATAGCTCAGCTCACAAAAACTTAAAAACATATGTTCCCTCTGGACTGTATAATCTTGCAAACATTTTTCAAAACAAACCTTTGAAAAACTGCTCTTAGAAAAATATAATAATTAATGAGTATTTTCAGAGTTGACAATTATATGGACAGAGAGATTGCAAACACACGACTTATTTACTAAGCCACTTCATAAATAAGTTTAAAATGCTTATATGTGCTTCTTACCAGCTTCAGAGAAATAGGGCAGTTCTATCAGTGACAGCTACATTTTGCACATCAGAAAACAATAACCACAAGCAGAAACACCTTCCCTTACGGTTGAAAATTTCTGTAAAGACCAATTTTGTATTCCACCTCTTGATGTAAAATTCTACGCACTTCCCACTTGGCATAACCACAATGTGCATACTTAACCTAAAAACAAACAAACAAGAATTACTAAGGGGGCCTTGGTGGCGCAGTGGTTAAGAGCTCGGCTGCTAACCGAAAGGTCAGCAGTGTGAATGTACCAGCCGCTCCTTGGAAACCCTATGGAGCAGTTCTACTCTGTCCTATAGGGTTGCCATGAGTCGGAATCGACTTGACGGCAATGAGTACTGTATGCCAGTTAACATAACAGGCTATTTTCACCAACATAGAATCCACTGTGCTTGCCTGGGTCCTCACCTGCCCGTCTCCTGTGTTTATCCATTATCTGGACATTGCCTTCTGGTCGACCTTCAGCAGTCCTGTGTTAGCTGTAAACTCTGAAAGCTGGCAGGAGGATTATTTTTTCCTACCCAGGACCATGGAACACGGGGAGAAAAACCTATGGCAGAATATTTTCCTATAAAAAAGGAAATTTAATTTGGTATTTTTAAAAATAAAAGGTTACTTTTAAAGAACGATCTATATGGGATCAGATCGACAACAGCAACTTGAAAGGTTTGATAGGAAACTTAGGGGGCAGTGAGTTTATGTTGGGGAGGAACAACCTGGAAAAGAAGGGTGAGAGTGGCTGGTTGTACCACTGGAAGAATGTAATCAATGTCACTGAATTGTACATGAAGAAATTGTTGAATTGGTATATGGTCTGCAATAACAAAAAATAAGATAAATTTTTTTAAAAAGGTTAATCTTAACATTAAGGGAAGCTATACATTTCATAGGCCTATCAATTATTACCAAATGATTTTGCAATACTCTGCCACTGTGACAAATTCCAAAGTATAGCTATTACAAGCAGAGTAAATTAGTGTATTACCTAGACAAAGGTAAATATTGTGAGGGTTTATTTGTTTTCCCTTGAACTATCGCTTTTTGCCTATATATTAAATTGCAAGGTAAAGACTGTAGGGTTATTTTTTCCCCCTTGAACTACTTACTGTTTTTTTGTTTTGTTTTTGTTTTTCGTAGCATATTAAATCGCAGCTGCAAATCACTCAAATATTTTCGACCTGGATTATAAATTGAATTGCACAGTATGACAACTCACTGTGGGAGTGAGTTAGCGTGTCAATCCAAATTGTGGAATAGAAAATTTTTAACTAACCTGAGTTTAAAACTAACAACATGAAACATAAAATTCCCCTGGTTATCCATGCTCAGACCCTGACAGTCAAACTCGATCCAACGGCAGCCTCCTTAGATTTCAGAAGCTCAGCAGTGATCAGAAAAGGGAGGTCTCCATGGCAGCCACACAGGAAACTGTTCCAGCAGCTATGGGGAAGTACCGCCTTGTCTCCCCGACTGAGAGGGGACATCAGTGCATGCTGACTGCTGATTAGAGGGAAGTGAAAGCATTTGAAGGGTGCCTCCATCCTCCAGCATCATAAAAAAACAGGGGAAAAAA